CAGAGGGAGCAGGGATGTGGTGGGTGGGGACGATGACAGACTTGGGATCTTAGGAGAGAAGCTGATCATGGAATGAACTCTCTCCATTGTGACAGGATATGGACTTTGAGGACGTGGCCGTTGCCTTCTCCCGGGAGGAGTGGGGGCTCCTTGATGAGGCTCAGAGACTTCTGTACTGCGATGTGATGCTGGAAGTGTTTGCGCTTGTCTCGTCTGTAGGTAAGACCTTCACATTCTCCCAGTGTCCTGGGTTGATGCCCACTTTTCTCTTGATTCTCCAGATGTAGCTTTCTCCCTTTCACAGTCAGACCACAGAAGAGGCTCTGCTAATTCCCCCACATTCCTGTTAAATGTGCCGTGGCTGCCAGCGGTGAGCTGTGTGGAGAGTCCATCCAGCCTTTATTCTCAAAACGTAGCTTTCTCTCTCCCACAGCCAGACCACAGGAGGGGCTCTACTAATTCCCCCACATTCTTGTTAAATGTGCTGTGGCTGCCAGCGGTGAGCTGTGTGGAGAGTTCGTCCAATGGACCCCACGAACATCCATAACACAAGTTGCTTCAAAAAGTGCAGGAAGTGCCTGGGAGTCAGGAGTCTTGCAGACAGCTTCCTGGGTGCCACCTCGCACTTCCTCTTCACGGTGCAGTGATGGTGTCCACCCAATGGCTTCCACTTCTGCCCCTTCCACAGCTAAAGGCTCTTGTGACGGTCTGTGCCAGGGTATGGTCTTTACTTACCTGATCCATGGGCTGTTCTTGTAAAACCCTCCTTCAATGGTTTGTAATATCTGTTCCCTGAATACTATGCAAGCTGTGTTGGTCAGGGCTAGTGCTGGCTGCTCACCTCTGTTGTCCTTCACTAATACTCAGAATATTTAGGTTTGACGTATTTGTACAGTAGAAGGTGCAGGGAGAACCCTGTTTTTTTCACAGGGTGAACATGCAACATGATCTCAGGAGGCCGGGCCTTGCTTAGGGGTAACTGGGGGAAGGTATGCCACATGGGCTGTGTTCAGATCATACCAGGGACATCCTGGTGTCCAGCAGTGTTTAGATGCAAGTGCCACTGGCCATGTCTCATTCCTTCCTTTCCTTTTCCTACCTGACACTTTGCTGACTTGTCGTTTAATCTGCGACTTCCTGGCTTTTGTCTACCTTCACCTTTTGGACTTTTTGTATCACCTGTTCCTCTGCACTGCTGCCTCTGCATTACCAGGTGTACTGGTTAATAATAGCGGATTTCGTAATCAAAGAAAACACGATAATTTCAAGAGAAACATCAAAAGTGCTTTATTCAAAGTAATGCCCATCGCTAGCTACACATTTCCCCATCTTTCAGGTAATTTGTGGATATCGTCCCAATAGAACTTTTCTTTGTTTGGAGGCAAACCATTCAGAGACCCAATTTTCCAGTTCTTTGTACTTTTTTTTTAGTTTTGTTTTTTTTTTCTTTGTACATTTTGAAGTGCTGCTCAGGAAGTGCATGTGCCATCGATTGGAACAAGTGGTAATGTGAAGGAGCAAGTTCTGGTGAATACGGCACGTGGGTTAATCTTCCCAGGCAAGGTCTTTTAACGTGTCTTTAACTGGTTTTGAAGAGTGTGTTGGTGCGTTATCATGAAGCAAAATTACTTTGCCGTGTCTTCTGGCCCATTCTGGTTATTTTACGATCAAAGCATGGTTCAAATGGACCTGGACGTTCTTTGTCTTTCACATCGAAATCATCACTTTTAAAGCGTTTAAACCAGCATTCACAAGTATCTTGAGATGGAGCATGTTCACCATAAGCTTCCCGAAGTATACGATAACTTTGAGCAGCACTTTTCTTCAAAATAAAGTAATGAAATAAAACTTCCTGCAAATGCTCTTTTTTGGCACGCAATTCGACATTTTTTCTTCTTTTTAAAAAAAATATATTTATTGATTTTTTACAGAGAGGAAGGGAGAGAGATAGAGAGTTAGAAACAATGATCAGCTGCCTCCTGCACACCACCTACTGGGGATGTGCCCACAACCAAGGTACATGCCCTTGACTGGAATCGAACTTGAGACCTTTCAGTCTGCAGGCCAACGCTCTATCCACTGAGCCAAACTGTTAGGGCGCAGTCCGACATTTTTAAGCGTAAAAATATCTATGATATTAACACCTTCAGAAAATTAGACATACTAAGTTTTGAAGCTTGTTGTCAATACAACAAAATAGCATACATATCAAATCGCATATATATCAACAGATTTGTAACTCCATCTATTGAAAAAAATCCGCATTATTAACCGGTGCCCCTGTTATTCTGTAACACTGACCAACACATGTGTTATGAGGTGCACATTCATGCTTAGGTAGTGTTTGACACCAGGTACTGGTGTATTGAATTTTGCTTGGAATACGACCTTACCAACCCCATGCACAGCTTACCCCCTTCACCGGCAGACAGGCCCTGCTGAATGCTGTTAGCAGAAGGCTGAGCTGGAGGTCGGGCTTCTCTTCCATGTGGTCCTTGCCATGTATGGGTCGTATTTCTGGTGAGGCCTTCCTGTATTGTAAAATTCAAAGGCCCAGACTTCACAGCGGCCTCTTATTAATCCTTCCTGCACATCTCTTATTTTCAGCCAGCTGCATGGAACCTATGTATTACGTGCAAAACACTTGAGCAATGGCACTTCCCCCGTCACCACAGTCAACATCCAGTTCCACAGCATTTCTCTCTTTTCAGGTTGTTGGCATAAAACGGATGATGAGGAGGCCTGTTCTGAGCAGAGTGTATCTGAACAAGGCGAGTCACTGGTCAGGGCTTCTGAGACAAAGCCAGCAACCCAGAGGACCCATGTGTGTAAGCTGTGTTTGTCTGTGTTAAAAGATATTCTGCATGTGACTGAGTCACAAGCAGCAGACTTTGAGCAGAAAGCCCTCTTCATTGATGCATGTGGAAGATACTTCTCTTTTAATGCAAACCCTCACCAGCAGCAGAGGGAAGCCAGTGGAGAGAAGCCCTGGAAAGAAGCTGTGGACAGGGCCTTGTCTGTGACCAGGTGCAGCTTCTACTTATCAGAGGTGCCTTCAACTAGTAGGGAGGTTGGGGAAGACTTCCTAGCCATCTCAGAGCTTCTCCAGCACCAGGCCCCTCTTGACACTGAGGAGCCACACAGTGGCAGTGAGATTTCGCTGGAATTTCTCAGTGGAGAAAGTTACCACTTTTGGGATAAATGTGAAAAATCTGCCAGCCACGACCAGAAGGTTGTTCAACATCAGGCTGTCTTTTCAGGAGAAAATATGTACGAGTGTAACAAACGTGAGAAAGTTTTTAGCCGTATCTTGAACCTCAATCGACATAAAAGCATTTACGCTGAAGAAAGCCCATATGAGGATAGTGATTGTGGGAAGGCCTTCAGTCAGAGCTCTGACCTCAGTCAACGCAAGAGGATTCACACTGGGGAGAAGCCTTTCGTGTGCAGTGACTGTGGGAAGGCCTTCAGTCAAAAGTGTGCCCTCATTCAGCACCACAGAATTCACACTGGGGAGAAGCCTTTTGAATGTAGTGATTGTGGGATGGCCTTTAGACAAAAGTTTACCCTCATTCAACACTACAGAATTCATACGGGAGAGAAGCCGTATAAGTGCACTGTTTGTGGGAAGTCCTTCAGTCAAAGCTCTTACCTCAGTCTACACAAGAGAACGCACACCGGTGAGAAGCCTTTTGTATGTAGTTGTTGTGGGAAGTCCTTTAGTCAAAAGTGTACCCTCATTCAACACCACAGAATTCACACTGGGGAGAAGCCTTACGAGTGTCATGAATGCGGGAAATCTTTTCGGAGCAATAGTCACCTCTATTACCACAAAAGAGCTCACACCGGAGAAAAGCCATATAAGTGTAGTGAGTGTGGGAAGTCCTTCATGCTCATCTCCACTCTGACGGAGCACCAGAGAATTCACTCTGGAGAAAAGCCGTATCAGTGCGGCAACTGTAGGAAGTCCTTCAGCCGAAGATCGAAGCTCATGGGCCACCTCAGAATTCACACTGGAGAAAAGCCGTATGAGTGCAGTGATTGTGGGGAATGTTTTCGATGGAAGCCTAGCCTGGATAGACATCTGCGAGTCCACACTGGAGAAAAGCCTTAAATGTACGGGGGATGTTTCATCTTTCTCACACTACAACACTGAAGGAGACTCGGACCCATTAGCCTGAGTATAAACTCCTTTTATTGGAACATACACTCTTCTCGATGCCTCACAAATTTGAGGTACGAGTGAGGCCTGAAGGAGTTGCATTGCACTTGCCAATGTGCCAAGATCTCATACCTGACTGATGTCACTGCGAGTATTTGTGGCTGAAACGACCTCCTCTACCCCCCGGCTCACCGTGCATCAGTCACCACCCCTGGTGCTCAGGGGAAATGTATTCTGTGTCCTCATTTCTGCTTGAGGAAATTATGATTGCTCCAAGTTCTTGGCAGGATCTTCATTCCTTACTCTCAGACTAGGGAATGGACCCCACCCAGGGTTCATCCAGAGCCCCCGTCCTCAGCTAAGAAGAGCCACCTCTCTCAGGGACATTGTGGGTCTCACATTTTGTTGTCACGAATTGTTTCAGCTTCTAATCCACCAACCTGCACACTGCTTGCTGTACACTGCTCTGGTTTGTGATGTTACGGTAACGGTGTTTTTGCTTTTGTACCTTTAATTTTGTGGGTTCCTTTCACTGCCTGGGATGATTTGCAAGCACAGTTGTGACCTGTCAGCATGTAGAGTTAACAGATACGGTGGGGATCCCAAACTGTCTGTGCTTCGGAAGGGGCAGCAGAATGGCAGAAAATCACTGTTTGTCTAATATTGACTTAGTTTGCATTACTGCCCACGGCCTGGAAATAAAGACCGCGTGACTTTGTGGTTCTATTTCGCAGGTTTGATCCTTGGCTCCCAATTGTGACTAGTTTAGGAGACATCCAGTCATTCTCTTTCTCTCAGGGACATTGTGGGTCTCACATTTTGTTTCTCTCTCTCTCTCTTTCTCTTTCTCTCTCTCTCTATTTTTCTGCCCCCTCCCTTACACTCTCCCTTAAGAATTAAAAGAGCTCTGGCTGGTTTGGCTCAGTGAATAGAGCCTGTGGTGGACTGAAGGGTCCCGGTTTCGATTGCGGTCAAGGCCACATGCTCCGGTTGTGGGCTCAGTCCCCAGTGGGGGCAGTGCAGAAGGCAGCCAATAGGTGATTCTCTCTCATCGTTGATGTTTCTCGCTCCCTCTTCCTTCTCTGAAACCAATAAAAACGTATGTGAACAATTTTTTTTTTAAACAGACCATTCACTCTAGTTCACGGAGATGGGGCCACTGCCTGCTCAACCACCTTTTCTCACTCTCTCCCGCCTTTGCCTGGCAGGTTCCCCCTGCAGCTGGGGAACACTCTGTCTTTCTCAAGGGCATGGCAGCAAGGATCCCGACACAGGCCCCTGGGAGGGATTGGGGTTCTGTGTCTGAGAGGAGCTGACCAGGGCTCTCTGTCTCCATGCAGAGGTCTCTCCAGCCTGCTCTCCCCATCCCCAGACCCCTGGCCCGCTGCAACTTCTGTATCCGGGAGAAGCCCTCAAATGCTCTGAGCCCTCAAATCAGTTCAACTCTGGAAAGTCCTGCCTTCGACCAGCCCACATACACACATGAGGCCCACTGGTGTTGAGTCTCTGTTTTTTCACTTTGGAGGTAATTTTCTACTTTGATTTTATTAAAAATAAATCCCCCCTCAGCACCGTCACCTCCCAGGCAGTCCTGGAGGTAGCTTGGATTCTCCAGGAAATGGTGCTGTGTATTTGCAATGCCAAGAACATTGTGCAATACAAGTGCTTCTAGGAGGAGAGCCTTGGACTCAATACGATATCACATTGAGGGGGTACATTGTTGTTGCCTCTCACCCTAAATTGGGCCTGTGCAGGTAGGCCCCTTCCCCTGCAGTGAGGTGAGGGACCCTGGACTTGGGATATTAGTGTGCTGCTGGGGTGTGTGGTGGAGTGGGTAACAAGGATGGGGGCCCTGGACAGGGTTGGTAGGGGTATTTCCTATCAGCACTTGGGGCAGAGTCGTTGAGTGGGAGGCTGAGGGGAGGCTCTAGTGATGAGAACTTGAATCAGGCTGGATGGAGGGGCCACAGCCAAGGGCGGGCACAGCTGAGACCTGTAAAGACCGAGGGTGTGGACCAGCCATGGGCAAACTACGACCCGCGGGCCGGATCCAGCCCGTTTGAAATGAATAAAACTAAAAAAAAAAAAGACCGTACCCTTTTATGTAATGATGTTTACTTTGAATTTATATTAGTTCACACAAACACTCCATCCATGCTTTTGTTCCAGCCCTCCGGTCCAGTTTAAGAACCCACTGTGGCCTTCGAGTCAAAAAGTTTGCCCACCCCTGGTGTGGACACTGTTGGGCTGGACTGTTCCAGACTCTGGAAGTAGAGTCCCCTGCCCATGGGAACTGGTGTTCTAGTGGAGGGCAGCCCGCAAAGACTGGGCCAGGATAGCGAGGGCAGGTGACAGGAGCTCAGGGAGGAGGAGAAGCCTGGGGTGGTCAGTGAAGGGCTGGTGTGTGGTACCTTCAGCAAAATCATTGACCAGAAAAAAAAAGAAAAAATCAATGCCTGAGGGACATTTACAGTACTAAATGCAAGTAAAGAGTCCAGTGGTTTAAAACTCTTTGCTTATCTGTATGTATATATAAAAGCCTAAGTGACCATCGCAACTAAACAGACGACCGAACAGGCTATGTGGGGTGACCAAATGACTGAGCAGCAGGCTGCGTGGGGCAACCAGGCCAGCAGGCGGGGCAGTAATGGGCAACCAGGCCATCGGGGGAGGGGGGCAGTTAGGGACGACCAGGCCAGCAGGGGGGGCAGTTAGGGGTATTCAGGCAGGCAGGTGAGCAGTTAGGAGCCAGTGGTCCCAGATTGTGAGATGTTTTGACTGCTGGTTTAGACCCAGGATTGGGCCTAAACTGGCAGCGGACATCCCCCGAGGGGGTCCCAGATTGGAAAGGGTGCAGGCTGGGCCGAGGGGACCCCAGCCCCATGCACAAATTTCATGCACCGGGCCTCTAGTTTATGATTAAAGAGTATTTAGAAGGTACTTTAGTATACTCACCACAAGCATAGTTCTCCAGAGGAAAAGGACAGATACAGCAATTTACAAGGAGACAGTGATGGTAAACTTCCACAGAATTTTAAAAAATCTGGTCGGAGGTGACCATAATGGGGCAGGATATGCAATAGAAGAAATAATGTTTGAGATCATGAGGAGCAAATCTGGAGTGTGTTCTCTGTTGTCCTGACCACACTTGCATAGACTGAGAAGCTGGCATGATGATGGGGAGGGAGTGCATGCATTGGACTTGCAATAAGACCCTGTGTACTGGCTTTGGCTACCAGTGGACATATTTGTGTCTGAATGATTCTATGCCATATTTTTATTTGGGTCTGTAGCCTTTGTGAGAATCGGAAATACCCCCTGGGAGCATGCTCACCTTCAAAGCCTGAAATAACGTGTCAACAAACCTTGGGTGATCAGCTGCAGAGAGCACTTCCAAGAAAATGACAGCGATCCCTTTACAGTGGAGGCAGCCCTGACCGGTTTGGCTCAGTGGATAGAGCATCTGCCTGCAGACTCTAAGGGTCCCAGGTTCTATTCCAGTCAAGGGCTTGTCCCTTGGTTGCAGGCACATCCCCAGTAGGGGGTGTGCAGGAGGCAGCGGATCAATGTTTCTCTCTCATCGATGTTTCTGATTCTCTATCCCTCTCCCTTCCTCTCTGTAAAAAATCAATAAAATATATTTTTTAAAAAAACAAAAACCTTTCTATAATAAAAAAATAAAGAGGAGGCAAAGCCCACCTGGATAGTCCACTTCCCGCGCCCCTAGCCACTGAGCCTGAGTCCTTTTGCACAGTGAGCCCTTTTCCCCTGCTTTGCCTGCGGCTGTGGGGAAGGAACTACATTTCCCAGAATGCCTCGAGTGGATCGGCAGCACCGCGAACCAATGAGAACTTAGGAGGAGGAGGCTACCGCGTGTGACGCACTGCGAGAGGGCGGTGCTTCGCGCGACTCCCCTCTTAGTTGCTGTGGGTTTTGTCTGTCAGAGGTTCCGAGGCGCTCAGTCAGGACCGAGGTGCCGGGTCCCAAAGGGGCGGGAGTCGTTCTCCGCGCCGCACAGACGCGGGTGTGAGGCCCGGGGACCCCGAGA